AAGCGGAGAAGGCAAGGAGTGAGGCTGAGCAGAAGAGAGAGGAGGCTGAGGCAGCGAAATGCGAGGCGGAGAAAGAGAGTGAGGAAGCGGAGAAGGCAAGGAGTGAGGCTGAGCAGAAGAGAGAGGAGGCTGAGGCAGCGAAATGCGAGGCGGAGAAAGAGAGGGAGGAAGCGGAGAAGGCAAGGAGTGAGGCTGAGCAGAGAAGAGAGGAGGCTGAGGCAGCGAAATGCGAGGCGGAGAAAGATAGGGAGGAAGCGGAGAAGGCAAGGAGTGAGGCTGAGCAGAAGAGAGAGGAGGCTGAGGCAGCGAAATGCGAGGCGGAGAAAGAGAGGGAGGAAGCGGAGAAGGCAAGGAGTGAGGCTGAGCAGAAGAGAGAGGAGGCTGAGGCAGCGAAATGCGAGGCGGAGAAAGAGAGGGAGGAAGCGGAGAAGGCAAGGAGTGAGGCTGAGCAGAAGAGAGAGGAGGCTGAGGCAGCAAAATGCAAGGCGGAGAAAGAGAGGGAGGACGCGGAGAAGGCAAGGAGTGAGGCTGAGCAGAAGAGAGAGGAGGCTGAGGCAGCGAAATTCGAGGCGGAGAAAGAGAGGGAGGAAGCGGAGAAGGCAAGGAGTGAGGCTGAGCAGAAGAGAGAGGAGGCTGAGGCAGCGAAATGCGAGGCGGAGAAAGAGAGCGAGGAAGCGGAGATGGCAAGGAGTGAGGCTGAGCAGAAGAGAGAGGAGGCTGAGGCAGCGAAATGCGAGGCGGAGAAAGAGAGGGAGGAAGCGGAGAAGGCAAGGAGTGAGGCTGAGCAGAGAAGAGAGGAGGCTGAGGCAGCGAAATGCGAGGCGGAGAAAGATAGGGAGGAAGCGGAGAAGGCAAGGAGTGAGGCTGAGCAGAAGAGAGAGGAGGCTGAGGCAGCGAAATGCGAGGCGGAGAAAGAGAGGGAGGAAGCGGAGAAGGCAAGGAGTGAGGCTGAGCAGAAGAGAGAGGAGGCTGTGGCAGCGAAATGCGAGGCGGAGAAAGAGAGGGAGGAAGCGGAGAAGGCAAGGAGTGAGGCTGATGCAGCGAAATGCGAGGCGGAGAAAGAGAGGGAGGAAGCAGAGAAGGCAAGGAGTGAGGCTGAGCAGAAGAGAGAGGAGGCTGAGGCAGCGAAATGCGAGGCGGAGAAAGATAGGGAGGAAGCGGAGAAGGCAAGGAGTGAGGCTGAGCAGAAGAGAGAGGAGGCTGAGGCAGCGAAATGCGAGGCGGAGAAAGAGAGGGAGGAAGCGGAGAAGGCAAGGAGTGAGGCTGAGCAGAAGAGAGAGGAGGCTGAGGCAGCGAAATGCGCGGCGGAGATAGAGAGGGAGGAAGCGGAGAATGCAAGGAGTGAGGCTGAGCAGAAGAGAGAGGAGGCTGAGGCAGCAAAATGCAAGGCGGAGAAAGAGAGGGAGGACGCGGAGAAGGCAAGGAGTGAGGCTGAGCAGAAGAGAGAGGAGGCTGAGGCAGCGAAATTCGAGGCGGAGAAAGAGAGGGAGGAAGCGGAGAAGGCAAGGAGTGAGGCTGAGCAGAAGAGAGAGGAGGCTGAGGCAGCGAAATGCGAGGCGGAGAAAGAGAGGGAGGAAGCGGAGAAGGCAAGGAGTGAGGCTGAGCAGAAGAGAGAGGAGGCTGAGGCAGCGCAATGCGAGGCGGAGAAAGAGAGGGAGGAAGCGGAGAAGGCAAGGAGTGAGGCTGAGCAAAAGAGAGAGGAGGCTGAGGCAGCGAAATGCGAGGCGGAGAAAGAGAGGGAGGAAGCGGAGATGGCAAGGAGTGAGGCTGAGCAGAAGAGAGAGGAGGCTGAGGCAGCGAAATGCAAGGCGGAGAAAGAGAGGGAGGAAGCGGAGAAGGCAAGGAGTGAGGCTGAGCAGAAGAGAGAGGAGGTTGAGGCAGCGAAATGCGAGGCGGAGAAAGAGAGGGAGGAAGCGGAGAAGGCAAAGAGTGAGGCTGAGCAGAAGAGAGAGGAGGTTGAGGCAGCGAAATGCGAGGCGGAGAAAGAGAGGGAGGAAGCGGAGAAGGCAAGGAGTGAGGCTGAGCAGAAGAGAGAGGAGGCTGAGGCAGCGAAATGCGAGGCGGAGAAAGAGAGGGAGGAAGCGGAGAAGGCAAGGAGTGAGGCTGAGCAGAAGAGAGAGGAGGCTGAGGCAGCGAAATGCGAGGCAGAGAAAGAAAGGGAGGAAGCGGAGAAGGCAAGGAGTGAGGCTGAGCAGAAGAGAGAGGAGGCTGAGGCAGCGAAATGCGAGGCGGAGAAAGAGAGTGAGGAAGCGGAGAAGGCAAGGAGTGAGGCTGAGCAGAAGAGAGAGGAGGCTGAGGCAGCGAAATGCGAGGCGGAGAAAGAGAGGGAGGAAGCGGAGAAGGCAAGGAGTGAGGCTGAGCAGAGAAGAGAGGAGGCTGAGGCAGCGAAATGCGAGGCGGAGAAAGATAGGGAGGATGCGGAGAAGGCAAGGAGTGAGGCTGAGCAGAAGAGAGAGGAGGCTGAGGCAGCGAAATGCGAGGCGGAGAAAGAGAGGGAGGAAGCGGAGAAGGCAAGGAGTGAGGCTGAGCAGAAGAGAGAGGAGGCTGAGGCAGCGAAATGCGAGGCGGAGAAAGAGAGGGAGGAAGCGGAGAAGGCAAGGAGTGAGGCTGAGCAGAAGAGAGAGGAGGCTGAGGCAGCAAAATGCAAGGCGGAGAAAGAGAGGGAGGACGCGGAGAAGGCAAGGAGTGAGGCTGAGCAGAAGAGAGAGGAGGCTGAGGCAGCGAAATTCGAGGCGGAGAAAGAGAGGGAGGAAGCGGAGAAGGCAAGGAGTGAGGCTGAGCAGAAGAGAGAGGAGGCTGAGGCAGCGAAATGCGAGGCGGAGAAAGAGAGCGAGGAAGCGGAGATGGCAAGGAGTGAGGCTGAGCAGAAGAGAGAGGAGGCTGAGGCAGCGAAATGCAAGGCGGAGAAAGAGAGGGAGGAAGCGGAGAAGGCAAGGAGTGAGGCTGAGCAGAAGAGAGAGGAGGTTGAGGCAGCGAAATGCGAGGCGGAGAAAGAGAGGGAGGAAGCGGAGAAGGCAAAGAGTGAGGCTGAGCAGAAGAGAGAGGAGGTTGAGGCAGCGAAATGCGAGGCGGAGAAAGAGAGGGAGGAAGCGGAGAAGGCAAGGAGTGAGGCTGAGCAGAAGAGAGAGGAGGCTGAGGCAGCGAAATGCGAGGCGGAGAAAGAGAGGGAGGAAGCGGAGAAGGCAAGGAGTGAGGCTGAGCAGAAGAGAGAGGAGGCTGAGGCAGCGAAATGCGAGGCAGAGAAAGAAAGGGAGGAAGCGGAGAAGGCAAGGAGTGAGGCTGAGCAGAAGAGAGAGGAGGCTGAGGCAGCGAAATGCGAGGCGGAGAAAGAGAGTGAGGAAGCGGAGAAGGCAAGGAGTGAGGCTGAGCAGAAGAGAGAGGAGGCTGAGGCAGCGAAATGCGAGGCGGAGAAAGAGAGGGAGGAAGCGGAGAAGGCAAGGAGTGAGGCTGAGCAGAGAAGAGAGGAGGCTGAGGCAGCGAAATGCGAGGCGGAGAAAGATAGGGAGGATGCGGAGAAGGCAAGGAGTGAGGCTGAGCAGAAGAGAGAGGAGGCTGAGGCAGCGAAATGCGAGGCGGAGAAAGAGAGGGAGGAAGCGGAGAAGGCAAGGAGTGAGGCTGAGCAGAAGAGAGAGGAGGCTGAGGCAGCGAAATGCGAGGCGGAGAAAGAGAGGGAGGAAGCGGAGAAGGCAAGGAGTGAGGCTGAGCAGAAGAGAGAGGAGGCTGAGGCAGCAAAATGCAAGGCGGAGAAAGAGAGGGAGGACGCGGAGAAGGCAAGGAGTGAGGCTGAGCAGAAGAGAGAGGAGGCTGAGGCAGCGAAATTCGAGGCGGAGAAAGAGAGGGAGGAAGCGGAGAAGGCAAGGAGTGAGGCTGAGCAGAAGAGAGAGGAGGCTGAGGCAGCAAAATGCGAGGCGGAGAAAGAGAGCGAGGAAGCGGAGATGGCAAGGAGTGAGGCTGAGCAGAAGAGAGAGGAGGCTGAGGCAGCGAAATGCGAGGCGGAGAAAGAGAGGGAGGAAGCGGAGAAGGCAAGGAGTGAGGCTGAGCAGAGAAGAGAGGAGGCTGAGGCAGCGAAATGCGAGGCGGAGAAAGATAGGGAGGAAGCGGAGAAGGCAAGGAGTGAGGCTGAGCAGAAGAGAGAGGAGGCTGAGGCAGCGAAATGCGAGGCGGAGAAAGAGAGGGAGGAAGCGGAGAAGGCAAGGAGTGAGGCTGAGCAGAAGAGAGAGGAGGCTGTGGCAGCGAAATGCGAGGCGGAGAAAGAGAGGGAGGAAGCGGAGAAGGCAAGGAGTGAGGCTGATGCAGCGAAATGCGAGGCGGAGAAAGAGAGGGAGGAAGCAGAGAAGGCAAGGAGTGAGGCTGAGCAGAAGAGAGAGGAGGCTGAGGCAGCGAAATGTGAGGCGGAGAAAGAGAGGGAGGAAGCGGAGATGGCAAGGAGTGAGGCTGAGCAGAAGAGAGAGGAGGCTGAGGCAGCGAAATGCAAGGCGGAGAAAGAGAGGGAGGAAGCGGAGAAGGCAAGGAGTGAGGCTGAGCAGAAGAGAGAGGAGGTTGAGGCAGCGAAATGCGAGGCGGAGAAAGAGAGGGAGGAAGCGGAGAAGGCAAAGAGTGAGGCTGAGCAGAAGAGAGAGGAGGTTGAGGCAGCGAAATGCGAGGCGGAGAAAGAGAGGGAGGAAGCGGAGAAGGCAAGGAGCGAGGCTGAGCAGAAGAGAGAGGAGGCTGAGGCAGCGAAATGCGAAGCGGAGAAAGAGAGGGAGGAAGCGGAGAAGGCAAGGAGGGAGGCTGAGCAGAAGAGGGAGGAAGCGGAGAAGGCAAGGAGTGAAGCTGAGCAGAAGAGAGAGGAGGCTGAGGCAGCGAAATGCGAGGCGGAGAATGAAAGGGAGGAAGCGGAGAAGGCAAGGAGTGAGGCTGAGCAGAAGAGAGAGGAGGCTGAGGCAGTTAAATGCGAGGCGGAGAAAGAGAGGGAGGAAGCGGAGAAGGCAAGGAGTGAGGCTGAGCAGAAGAGAGAGGAGGCTGAGGCAGCAGCATTGGAGGCCGAGAATGAGAGGGAAGGGATTGAGAGGAGGAGGATACAGACTGAGTCAAGTTTGAATGATGCACTGAGGAGGTTGAGTGATGTTTCAGATTCTGTTGACAAAGCTATGAGGGATGCTGACAAGGCTAGACTGGATGCTGATGTGGCAAGACGTGATGCTGATGTGGCAAGACGTGATGCTGAAATGGCACGACGAGAGGCTGATGCGGCCAGACGTGTTGCTGACGAATGTAAGCTCGCTGCTGAGCTGGCAAAACAAGCTTCTGACTTGGCAAGGCAAGATGCTGAAGTGGCGAGGCGTGCAGCCGAGCAGGCAGAGGAGGAAAGAAGGATGGCTGAGAGAATAAGAGAGGAGGCCGGGAAGAATGGGGATGGAGGGGGGTGGGTGAAGGAACTGGAACGGTTGAGGCTTGAATTGGAGATGACTAGGATTGAGGGGGAGATTGCAAGGAAAGAGCTTGAAAGAGTGACAAGGGATGGGGAGTTTGTGAGGGAGGAGCTTCAGAGAGTGGGAAGGGATGGAGAGAGTTTGAAGGAAGAACTAGAGAGAGTTAGAGGGGAGTTGGGGAGAGTGAGAAAGGAGCTGGAGCGAGTGACGGGGGCTAAGAGGGAGAGTGTGCGGAACCTGAGCGAGTCGTTGGTGGCTTCAGAGGAGCAGAGGAAGAAGCTGGTGGAGCTGCTTCGAATGGCCGAGAGCTTTGAAGGTCAGTGTTCGTTCTATCATGTGAATTCTTTCAGTTTACCTCTCAATTTTATTTTCTGCCTCTTTTGATTTGACTGATACGGTTTTTTCTCATTGTAATGTCTTGCTTCAGTTACCATCTCCTGATTAAAACTATTTTTTCTATGCGATTGTGTTGTGCAGGATTCTCTACATCACTCTGGTGAAGGTGCCAGTGAACTGGTAGACCGAATTCCTAATTGAGGTTCCTCACATCATCTAACATACTGGGAATTTCTAACCGTTTCACTTGTACATATCTAACTTGTTCCCTTCTATTTATTGCTCCGCAAGTACCATAGTGCCGTTTGCTTTTCTGCAGTAATTTCATTTAGTATGGAGGGTTCTTTTATTGTTTGGTGGAAAAGTAGTTGCCCTCCTGAAAGTCAGCTCTCTATTGCGGCTTCTAATCAGTGCTGTTATCGCAACAGCTTGTGAATGACAAGCGGTTGTGTTTCGGCCTCTCTCGGCTTCCACGAAGGCGCGTGATTTCGTGACGAGTGTAAGCGCGGGTGACCTCGGTCGTGCGTTTCGTGTCATCTCATTCCATGCTTTCGTGCTGGCTCAATTGTTCCGCCTCTTGTTGACGTTGCAACGAGGTGGATGCTCGTTCGTTTCTCCCATGGAGATTCTTTGCTGGGTTTCCAGTTGATCACGCACAATCACTGAAACTTTACGCCAAAAGCGCAGTACTGTAGCTTCTGGCGCAGGGTTTCTGCCAGTTTCTCGCTTATCGCGCAGTATTAGTTCCTTTCAACGCCTTTCGATTATCATTGGGCCACATGTTCGAAATTTAGAGGCCAATATGTTTTACTGTTAGTGAGAACAGTTAATATCCAGTCTTGTATTTTTACCTGCGCGGAAAAAAATAACCCATGAAAAAGGGCATCAGTCATAGTTTCAGTAAGTGTGTGTGGTCAACTGAAAACCCTTCTTTGCTGAAAGATGAAACGCTACCCCCTCTTGTTGGAGATTCTTTGCTCCTCTGTACCCGCGTCTCCGCACAGCACTGCGAGGTGGTTGTGTACAGTACAACGGCTAGTTTCGTTCAGTTTCGGTTTCCCAGAGCAGGACCCGTACGCTTCCAGAGTCCAGCAGCAGTACGCTTCCAGAGTCCAACAGCAGCAGCACCACCCAGCTACACCAGCATCAAGGCTACCTTGTTCGTACAATTGACCAGATTCTTCGAGGGATATACTATCGGTTGAGTACGATGTTGTGCACTCGGGGGCTTTGATCTTGGGTCACCACCACTTTGAACCGCTCTGCTCACCTGCCTGAACCTGAAACGTGCACACATGAACTTGGTTTGTCCTCCTGTCTTCCATTGCTTTTCAAGCATCGAAACACTTCCCTGATGCGATTAGAGCTAATTCATGGGAGAGGTGATCTAGCTGAGAGCTAATCTAGCAAGTGTATTCATCCCTGCAGGTTTAGCTGTTGTGGAAGAGGTTCCATAGGATTTTTCGTGACTGGTGGAAATTAAGGTTACAGCATTTCATTGGGATCACTGGATCAGCTTCCTCGTTAAACTTGAGCAGCAAGGCCGTAATAAGAACACCAGCATCAAAGTGATTGTGAAATCAGCATCTCGTCATGTCTAGTCGAGGTCATCATTCTGACACCAGCGCGTCGCATCTTGTGGATAAGGCGTGCAGCGAGTACCTGGCGGAGCCTGATTGGACCACCAATCTCCAGCTCTGCGACCTTCTCAATGTATCGCCAGGGTGAGCCGACCTGTGAATCGTCGCAGCGACAACTTGTGAGGCGCCTCAAACGTTGTGAATCGTCGCAGCGACACTCAATTTCGCGTCGCTTACCTCCAAGGACATCATTTCTCTATGTTGTGAAGCGTTTGGATCGACCTCTTAAATGACGCTTTCGCTGGAAAACGAAGATGTTGATACCGTGTGTGACGTACAGCTAGGAGTCTTGTGAAAGTCTCGCTGCTGCGAAGCGTCATAGCGTGTTGCTTCTTACTTCTGTTCTTCCTTCCTATTCCTTCATCCTCCCTCTCAATACCGAGCTAGACAGCAGATGCCATCCGAGCCATTTACAAGAAGGCCACGTCGTTTTTGGCTCGCGGAAAAAACAAACAAACAAACTTATCTTTCTTTTTTCCTCCCCCACCCTCCAGCAAGGTGGGGGACACCATGCGAGCCGTTCACAAGAAGGCCATGTCAAGTCCCTCTTATCAACCTCCGTCTCGCCTCTCCCTCTTACCCCTATTGCATCCTTGGACTCGTTGTTTCCCGCTCTCTAGCAAGGCGGGTGAAGACGTGAGGGGCAGTTGTCAAGAGGTCATCTCGAGTTTCTCATCAGCTTTACCCCCTCCCCCTCCCCCTCCCCCTCCCCCTCCCCCTCCCCCTCCCCCTCCCCCTCCCCCTCCCCCTCCCCCTCCCCCTCCCCCTCCCCCCCCCCCTCCCCTTCCCTTCCCTTCCCTTCCCCGTCCTTGTGTTGCTTTCGCGGATCCTCCCTCGTGCCCGCCAGCAAGGTGGGGGACGCCATGCGGGCTCTCCACAAGGTCACCTCACGCCTCGCATCCACTCTTTCCACGCTCCCCTGTTCACCTCCCTACCACCGCTTTTGACTATGTTATCCACCCCCTCCGACCTCCAGCAAGGTGGGAGACGCCATGCGAGCTCTCCACAAGAAGGTCACCTCACGCCATCCACAAGTGCAGCTCTCCGCTCTCACTGTACGTTACAACATTGTTCAATTGCCGCCCTCTGTACGTTGCAACTCTTACATTTGACCCACACTGCTGTACTTTTTCATGTGTGTCATGTCGTCCACGCTCAAATCAGCTGCCTGCTCTCACTGTACATTACATACACCCACATTTTTCCTGTTACAGCCTTTCTAAACCACCTGAACCCGTTTCTGTCCTCTCCCCCTTCCCAACCCTTCACAGCTGCTGGAGACGGTAATGAAGAACTGTGGGGGGGCAGTACACGCTCAGGTGGTGGAGAAAGGAGTGCTTGCTGACGTGGCCAAGATCGCCAGGAAAGGAGGGGTGCGTGCTTGTTTGTTTGTCTGGTTGTTCTCTAACTGTACCTTGTTTTGGGGGTGTATTCTTAGGTAGGGAAAAGCCCTAATTCAATCTTTCATTCATTTGCCGCCATCACCTCCTGTACAGCGTGTTTGCATATCCCATTGCCACCATGCTGAATGAAATTATACCATCCTCCCTCCCTGTGCCAAACGAGGTGACTTTTGAGTCGACTCAAAAGTCATCTCTCACTCATTCACCTCCTGTACCGCGTGTTTGCATGTCCCATCGCCTCCATGCTGAATGAATTTATACCATCCTCCTCCCGGTACCAAACTATCATTAACAGGCGAGCCCTGCAGCAACAGCAAGAGCGCGAGGGCTCATTCAGGAGTGGGCGGACGTGTTCCCCCCTGGCCCCACCTGCCGCCACACAGAGTACTTCCTCGCATTCGACGAGCTCAAGGTGTGCTCCGTCTGTCCCTGCCTGTTCCCATGTTTTCTCTGAAAGTGAGAATGGGCGGACGTGTTCCCCCCTGGCCCCACCTGCCACCACACAGAGTACTTCCTCACCTTCGACGAGCTCAAGGTGTGACCCCGACTTGTACACATGAGGATTGGATCGACAATTCTCTCAACTGACTCGCCCTCTCCTTATGCCTTCTCCTTAGAGTGGGAGTGGGCGGACGTGTTCCCCCCTGGGCCCACCTGCCGCCACACGGAGTAGTTTCTCGCGTTCTATTAGCTCTCAAGGTGTGTGTGATGCCGTTCATTCTCTCTGAAAGTGGGAATGCGTGGACCTGTTCCCGCCCCACCTGCCGCCACACAGAGTAGTTTCTCGCGTTCTATTAGCTCAAGGTGCGATTCTGTTGTTTTTTCCTGCTCTCCGTATGTATAAACAGTAACCTTTGTTGTCTGCCGTGTCTCCCTGTTCCCCACTGTCTTCCCTGCAGAGGAGTGGCGTCCCCTTCCCCCCCAATCGCCACACTGCAAGCTCCCACCACTCCCCCTCCATCCCTGTGCCGACTCCCGAGCGTGCAGCAGCCAGTCACGGCGTGCCACCTGGCGGCCTCCCCCCGCACCTGCATCCCCATGCCAACCACTCCACCCCTCCTCAACTCTACAACTCACCCACCTACGGCAGCCCCGTTGGGGGGGGATACAGTCCGGGTAACCCTGCTGCTGCTGCTTATAACGGAGCTGCTTATAACGGGGCAGCTTATAACGGAGCTGGTTATGATGGTGCGCGGTCTCCTCTTGGAGGTCCCAGGTCGTTACCACCGCAGCCACAGCCCCCTCCCTTGCATTATCAGCAGCCGCAGGCACAGGCACAGCAGCAGCAGAGTGGGAGTGGGTCACAGAACGGGACGAGTGCCAAGCCTATGAGGTGAGAGACATGGGGGTTGGGAATCAAGGATGGAGGGAGGGAGGGATGGAAGGGGGTGGGAAGTTGGGAACCAGAGAAACCCAGCTGAAGGGAGGGGAGGGGGTGTGGAGGGGCCGGGTGGAAGATTCAGGCACCGTTTTTTCATATATTGTGCTGCTCTCTCCAGTCTAGCAGACATCACCACAGGGCTCAACTCAGTGGAGGTGTTATCTGACCTGCTCACAACAGTGCCCTTGCACAACCCTGCATATTTGCCCTTCCTTACCCACCCTCTCATCCCCACCCCACCCCACCCACACCCTCTATTCTAGCAGACATCACATGGGGTTGAACTCCGTGGAGGTGCTATTTGACCTGCTCTCAGCCGCATTCAAGGGCACCCCTGCCTTTGTATCCCCTGTCCCTTAACCACGCCCTCATCTCATCCCCACTCCGCATAACCAGCCGCACAGACATCACCATGGGGTTGAACTCCGTAGAGGTGCTATCCGACCTGCTCTCAGCCGCTCCCATCCAAGGACAACCGTTCCTCTGTGCCGATCTCTTAACCCACTCTGTTTATGCTTGGTGCCCATTCCCTCCCACTCTCTCCAGTCTGGCAGACATCACCACGGGGTTGAACTCGGTGGAGGTGTTATCTGACCTGCTCTCAGCCGCACCCAAGGACAACCCTGGCTCTGTGTTGGGGGACGAGTTGGTGCAGCAGCTGGTGGGGGAGTGCCGGGGGCTAGAGGGGCGTCTAGCAGCCACGATCAACTCCACCAGGTGAGTTGGTGACTTTCGTCAGTGGTGTGTGAAGGCGAACCCTTTTGAGTCGACTCAAAAGCTTTCGCCAGTGGTGTGTGAAGGCAAACCCTTTTGAGTCGACTCAAAAGCTTTCGTCAGTGGTGTGTGAAGGCGAACCCTGGCTCTGTGCGTAGTCTTCTTGACGTGTCTTGAAACAAGAAGTGAACGACAAGCTTGCCCCTGTGTTGGGGGACGAGTTGGTGCAGCAGCTGGAGGGGCGCCTAGCAGCAACCATCAATTCAACGAGGTGGGTTTGAGCAGATGAATCTCATCCCCCACCCATCTCACACCCATCCAACACCCATCCCACACTTATCCTACGCCCCCCCCACGCCCTCCCCACACCCGTCCAACACCCATCCCACACTTATCCTACGCCCCCCCCCACGCCCTCCCCACACCCGTCCAACACCCATCCCACACTTATCCTACGCCCTCCCCACGCCCTCCCCACGCCCACCCCACGCCCATCCTGTGCCCCGACTTCTGAGCAAGCCCATTTCCCCTTTTCCCATGGTAACAAGCAAGTCACACCACTGTCGAAAGTCACCAACTCACCTTCTGAGCCGGGGCGGGGCACTTTCCACTTCTGAGCAAGCCCAGTTCCCCTTTCCCCTTTTCCCATGGTAACAAGCACACCTGCCCTGCTCCGCCCCGGCTCTCAACGACGAGGTGCAAGCGGTCATGAAGCGGTCATGAAATGCCATTTCATTACCATGCCTCTTCACTCATATTACCCACTGCCCACTGTGCATGCCTTCGCCTTCCCCCTTTTCCTGCTCCCCCGGTGACGAGCATCTGCTGCGCTTCGCCGTCGTTCTCAACGACGAGGTGCAGGCAGTCATGAAGAGGCATCCTGGGCATTCACATCTCTCCTCCCACAACCATCCCCCCTGCCCTATCCCCTGCTTTCCCAGTGACGAGCACCTGCTCCGTTCTGCCCTGGCTCTCAACGACGAGGTGCAGGCAGTCATGAAGCGCCACAGCCAGCTGCAGAAATCCTCTCCTGCCGCTGCTAGTGCTGGTGGTGGTGGTGCATCTGCTCCTGGCTCGGCTGCAGCAGCAGGGGCAGCAGCAGCAGCAGGGGGAGTGCAGTGGGCGCAGTACGATGGGGAGGGAGACACTGACAGCGAGCCGACCATTCAGCTCGACAGGCGCGGGTGAGTCTTCTTCTTCCTTCTCCTCTGCACCGCAACCCACCTGTCCGCTACAGTCACCTCCCTTTGTTCGGGCCTTCGCCTTTTGAGGGCGCCTTAAAGTCGCAGACAGGCGAGGGTGAGTCTTCTTCTTTTACCTTTCACCTGTCCGCTACAGACACCTCCCTTTGTTCAGGCCTTCGCGTTTTTCGAGCTTACTCTTTTCTAGTCAGCCCAAAGACACATCATTCAGCTCAATAGACAGGTGCGGGTAAGTCTTCTTCTTCTATCTTTCGCCTTTTCCTTCTCGACCTCCCCTTTCTCTACTCGTTTCTTGTTTCCCTCTCCCCTTCCATTCCGTGCCCCCTTCCTCTGCCCCTCCTTCCCCCCATCCATGGTGTACCATCTCCCCCCCCTTCTTCTTTCTCCATTCTCTCTCCTCTTTATTATAAGCACGTAAAATGAGGCGCCTCGTTAATAGGTTTCCCCATCTACAATGCACCATCTCCTCCCCCGTCTTCCTTCTCCATCCGCCCCCGTTTCCCCCACTCCATCATACTCCTTTTCTCCTTCGCTCCCCTCATTCACAACTCCCATCCAGCTTCTCCCCCAACCTTGCCCCGTCCCTTCTCCCCCCTCCCCCACCCACCTGCAGTGCGCCATCTTCCTTCCCCATCCGCCCCTCAGCTTCCCCCACACCCTCCTACTCGTTCCCCCACACCCTCATACTCGTTCCCCCTTGCCCCTCCGCATTTATCGCACCCCCCACATTCTCCCCATTTTCCCCCCGTTTCTCCCGCCCTGCTTCTGCTCCCCCCCCCCACCCTACAGTGCGCCATCTGCCTTCTCCATCCGCCCCTCAGCTTCCCCCACCTTCTCCCCGAGCGCCCCCCCCGCCTCCCCCCTGCTCCCCCTTCCCCCTGACTGGAAACGCTCCTCCACGCCTCATGCCCCCTCTGCCCCCACTGCCCCTGCTTCTTCTGCTGGTTCTTCTGCTAGTGGTGCTGGTGGTTCTGTTGGTGCTGACACTGGGTCAGCAGGAGAATCTGCAGCATCAGGAGCAGCAGCAGGAGGAGAAGGGGGAGCAGCAGGAGGAGCAGCAGCAGGGGCAGGAGCAGCACCCCCCTATTCGCTTCCACCATACGGCTCAGCCCCTGATCTGCCAGCCATGACCGCCCACATGTCTCACTTGAACCTCGCCCAACCCTCACCCAACGCACATCCCCACACACATTCCGAACCTGCCTCCCGGGACGTGTCTCCCTTCCCTGCCCAAGCCTGGGGAACAGGTTCGGCTGCTGCTGCCATTCCTGCTGCTCCCGCTGCTCCTGTTTATCGCTCAGCCACTGATATGCTTCTTGCTGAGCTGTCGCCGTCCAATCCGTTTGCGCCAGGCGTGCAAGCAGCCACAGCTGGAGGAGAAGGACAAGGGGGAGGAGCAGGAGCATCTGTTTCCGCAGGAGCAGAGTCAGCACTACCACCAGCAGCGGCTCGTGCATTAGACTTTGGCTCTAGTCCTTCCGCTGCTGCTGCTAGTGCTGCGAACGCTGCTTCGGATGCTGCTGCTCCCACTGCACCTTCAGGCACTGCACCCAACCCCTTTGGACCCGTTCCTCCCTCTTTCACCACCGAGCCTTCCCCATTCGATTCCGAGCCTTCCTTTCAAGCCCTTCCAAATTCAGGCCACTCCTCTACCGCCCCTTCCCCTGCTCCATCTCCATACAATCCCCAATCCACACACCTCCCTTCTCCCCAGACCTACCCGTCTCCATACACTCACACCACGTTACAGTCACAGCCCCCTTCCACCTCCTCCACTCCTGCTGCTGCGCTAGGCTCTGGGTTTGGCTCTGCCCCCGGATCTGCCCCGCCCCGCCTCTCCAATTCCCTTCCTTCTCACTCACCCACTGACCCCTTTGGTGGTTCCGGCTCTGGTGCTGCCGGTTTAGGTGCTGGCGGGCGAGGTTTTACTGGTGCAGGCTCATCTGGGTTCCCCGCTTCTGCTTCTCATCCTCCCTCTACTGCCCCGAGCTACCAGTCATCCCATCCTGGTCAGATGTACCCAACCCATTATGACCCGAATCAGCAATCCTGGCAGCAGCAACTCACACAACAGCAGCAGCAGCAGCAGCAGCAGCAGCAGCAGCAGCAGCAGCAGCAGCAGCAGCAGCAGCAGCAGCAGCAGCAGCAGCAGCAGCAGCAGCAGCAGCAGCAGCAGCAGCAGCAGCAGCAGCAGCAGCAGCAGCAGCAGCAGCAGCAGCAGCAGCAGCAGCAGCAGCAGCAGCAGCAGCAGCAGCAGCAGCAGCAGCAGCAGCAGCAGCAGCAGCAGCAGCAGCAGCAGCAGCAGCAGCAGCAGCAGCAGCAGCAGCAGCCGCAGCAGCAACGTTATCCGCCTCCCATTTATCCCCAAATGCCAGGCCAGCAACACCAACAGGGTTACCAGAATTACCAGCAACCCCAGTGGCAGCAGCAGCAGAATCAGATGTACCAACAAAGTCAGCAGTACCAGCAGCAACAGCAGCAGCAGCTTCAGCAGCAGTACATGATGGGGGGAGGAATGGGCGGAGTGAGTGGAGACACTCCCCCTCCTCCGTTTCCCAACGCTACGCCATCCTACCCCCCTCTTGGCCCTAATCAAAATTTCTCCCCTCTCGCCCTCCCATCTCCTGCTGTCTCCAATCGGCCCGTGCCCTATGTCGGGCCAATGGGGGCGGGTACGGGAATGGGCATGGGAGCAGGGATGGGCATGGGAGCAGGTATGGGGATGGGCATGGGGAATTCATACCCATCGCTCTCTCCTACCAAGCCTCCTGCAGCTGGTTCGGTGATGAGCCTCGGCGGTAGCAGTGGGGGCATGCAGCATGGCTTTCAGCAGCAGCAGCCACAGCAGCAGCAACAGCAGCAGCAGCAGCAGCAGCAGCAGCAGCAGCAGCAGCAGCAGCAGGCGTTGGGACCGGCAGGATTGACGAGACAGCAGTTGGCACGGAATGAAGACCCCATGCTTACAACATCCATGTTTGCAGATCTGAAAGATATCAATGCGTTTCTAGCTCGGGATATCAACTCTGCAAAAACAGGGGCAGCAGTGAGGCGTTAAGCCCAGCAGGATTGACAAGGCAGCAACTGGCTTGGAACAAGAGGATCCCATGCTCACAACATCTATGTTCGCAGATCTCGAAGACATTAACGCGTCTCTAGCTTTGCGAAAGCGGGATCGGTGGTGAGGAGTGCAGATGTTTCTGGTACAGGAGGTGCAGACCAGCAGGCGGGCGCCTCCATGAGTCTGAACGGACTCACCCGTTGATCTACAGTGGATTTATTGATCCACGATCAAGTAGGAGCTGTTGCATGTTTTTCATTTCTAGTGTTCTGTTCCTTGCGCCTTTCGTATTGCCAGGGTTGTTCCTAGGATGGATCGGAGCGCAATGCAAGCGACTTTGTGCCCGTTTGCATTAGGAGTTGTTGTGGTTCGTAGGTAGCAATTTAAAATGTACATGTTCTTCTAGAGTACGGATGATCCGCTGGCTGGCATTCTACATGAATTTCACAGATGCGCTAATTATGCTGCTTCTTTATGTCAGATTAATAGCTGCCAATGTCTCTTGATTGGTGGCATAATGCTGAGACTATACGATGGGCACAACACTGCTGTGGAGGGTCACACTTTGACCTGGGTGAAGCCAAGCATCGTTGGATGCGACCAAGGGCCACAGCAAGATGTTGGGATAACAGACAAGTGCGATGTCAGTTTGTGCTCATAAATGCGTTAATGAGGGGAATGTACGGTTATTTGAGTATGTTGGTGCTTCCAGCAGATCAAGGTGGCAATATATTTTAACAAAGTAGTTTCTAGATACATTGAGCTGTTTAACGGATTGCTGTTTGAAATGAGTTTCCAGGACAGGGCCGTAACTTCACACGACTTTACGCGGCACCGCCATCGTTCCCAGCTTCATATTCTTGCACCAATCAGCTGCTAGCATAATTTTCATAGCCAAACAGAGCACTGGCTGACCCTTCAAGTGCCGAAACTCGCTGGAAACAGCAGATTGTTTCGATAGATGCTGCTGCACCAGCTGCATGATTCGATGTGTGGAGCAGCAAGCATTGCTGTCACCTTCTTTTCAGCCAATACGGATGAGGCGCATTTGTCTTGGTTATCATCGATTGTCGTTTCCAAACCCTGCAAATGCAGAAAAGGGCCAAATTTGTATGCCACCGCATTGCATTTCGTGAATTCCATACCATGTCACGACACATACAGCTCTGCCCCGATTCAATTCATGGAAGCATAAATCTGCCAACTGAGCTCTGCTGTACGCCTGACAATGAAAAGAAATTCTACGGAGTTGCCAATTCGTCCAGCGCAGCAGCAATAGAATTGTACACACACAAGCACGGGCAGACCATGAAAACTACACAGCCTGAACGCAATCGACTTCACCACGATGCACAGTTGTGGCAGCAATGCACCTGAGCTGGCATCGGCGAACAGTCACAACGACCATTTCGTTCCACTCACCAGTTGACGGTGCGGAAGCTGTAATAAGTCCAGCCAATGTGGCGTAGATCCCTTACCATAGTCACAACGAAACCGTGTCCTTCCGTAATTTCTGGTTCGTTGATTTGCAGTCTTTGCCATCGTGGCGCCTCAGGGATAGCCGGCTCGTTTCATGAACTTGCCGCGGGCTGCAAGGGAAGAACCCAACCCTGCTGTGCGGGCAAAGCTTCGTGCCGACGTGGGTGGTGGAAGTTGACAGCTGAAAACGTGTATGAACTTGAGCCAACTCTTTGAACAACATCTTCTGAGATTCTCTACCACAACTTCCCATCCCAACTGTGATTTCCAGATTTTCCCTCCCTCCGCAATTACAGGACTCTTCCCTGAGCTTGAAACCCGTCCTCCGCTTAGGGTTTTTGCTGTCGCTCGGAAGCTCAAGCAACGTATGGTCAATCCGTGCTCTGAGATCCAAGTCTGTTTCCTTCGAGCGTACTTGTTTCGAAGCTGACTAGAAATGGAAGCTGATCTAACAGCTGCTCGTTTTGAACTCGACGAGCTTCACTCTAAGATTTCTTCTGCCCTCCCGCCTTCCGACGCCGAAAACTCGAAAGCCAGTCGTCGCATGGCTATGCGACTTCTGGTCGGAGACATGGACTCGAACAACGGAACCCCCGCCCCTTTCCCTATGGCAGGAATGGGGGAGATGAAACGGGGCAAGCCTCCCGTGAACAACGGCCGCGTTTCACCTAGAACCCCAGGGCAGGCGCCTCCTCAAAAGAAGCCTATCGGCGCGCCAAAGAAGAAGGTGGTAAAGAAAGCGCTACCTAAAGCCCCTGCGGGAGACCCGATGGAGGAGTTTTTCGCTATTATGGAGCAGTTTGTCGACGAGCCCGAGGAGATGGAATGCGTGAGGCTGGCGGAGGTTTCCCGCGCGAACAGGCCCGGCCGCATGCAGAAACCTCAGATGGGGGGTATTAGCTCGGACGGTTTTCCGGCCGATCTCGGCTGGTCCAAGATGGAGAAGCAGATTCACAGCGGCCCGATGTCTCTCGCTCCGGCCAGCCCGAAAGTGGTGCAGAAGACGCAATTACCGAGGGCGGCGAGCCGCGATTCCGAGAAGAGCCGTGTTCATCCGGCGCACGCGAGGACGCACTCGGTGGGTGGCGTGGGCTGCTTGAAGGATCTAAACTCGCTTTGGAATCCTGCCGCGTCGCCAGCTGTAAAGGTTCAGCCGATTCAGCGTGCCAGCTCTGTCAAAGAGGGGCACGAGATGCAATCATTGGTTGACGCGCTGAAGGCGGAAATCAAGGCGAAGGACAAGCTTCTCGAAGCTTCGGAGAAAGAGCAACAGATGCTGCAGGAAGAGTTGAAGCACGCGTGGAACAGCACCGACGAGCTTCAGCGACAGTTTAACGACTCAGAGGCGCTCGTCTTGAAGTTGCAGCATGAGAACGAAGTTCTGCGATCCGCGAAGCGTGTGTTGACGACGTCGCCCACTGACCTGTCGCGGAGGCTAGCTGCCACGGAGTCGCGCAACGTGGAATTGGCGGAAAAAATGGCAGCATGTGAGAAGGAGCTCGAGATGACAAAGATCGCACTTCAGCAGGCGGCGCAAGAAAGGGATTCGCTCGCGGAGGAAATGGAGGCGGCACTTGCAAGCTGGGCGGTTGACAGCCCCGCAACTCCTGCCAGCGGGATTTCGTCTGGAACCTTCTCGCATTCGACGTCCACGTCATCAAACTCCAGTTCCCAAGACGAGGTTCAGCAACTCGCGATGGCTCTCGACGGTGTGCAGAGGGAGCTTCGCGTGGTGCGGGGCGAGAGAGACGCGCTTATGGCTGCGGTGCGTCCCAGCGGGCGGGTGAATGTGAACAGCCCAGCTGGCCGCTCCCTACGAAAATCCTCGTCAGCTTTGTCCGTACCCTCAAGCCAGCAGCAACAGCAGGCGGCACAGTTCAACTACAAAGCCATCCGCCAGACTGTCGATTCCAACCCTCGTGTCCACTTCGCGGAGCCTATCGCTTCACGTCTCCCCCTCGCCTCCTCCGCGCCCTGCTAAGTGTCTTCTCCCTAAATCTCGAGCTCTTCGGTGACGCACATTTCGGCGTTCGTGACTCGGTACTGTACATCTTTTCCCAGGAGCCGTACTCTTGGAGTTTGTCGTCGGTGCGCGACGTTTGCGGCGCTGCTCGCTTCTGTTGGCTTGTAGTGAGGCTGACATTGTCAGACATACTTGGTGTTGTGCTTACAGATCGGTTGCCATTGCCGGCTGTCCCCGCATTTGCGAGCTGTGCTGTGTCTTAGATTCTTAGTAGCCTCTGGGACATCCTCATGGCAGTGGCCACTGCTTGTGTGTGACACTACCTGTAAATTCCATTAATATGTTGCGTGGTATCACGTACCGTAATGACATTTGAATAAATTTCCTCTAGTTATTTTGAACGTGCTATTTAGGGCTGCAATCTGCAATTTAAAAAGTCTTCAACATTTCCTCAAATTGATCATGTCACATCTACAACATTTCCGCCAGAGTCTTCAAATCGAAAGCTGAATGCAGTAAGCGGATAGTTTCGAAAATAAGGTTGTTAAACTGAAATAGGTTAAAGACGTGCATGTCACAACAAGCCAAGGAAATTTTGCTGGCAGGCAGGCCTTTATCGGTCGTCTAGGCCAAGATAGTGGGTAGGAGCTTGTAGCATAGAACGGATCAAGCCTACACAATTGTCGCCCATACATGAAAAACCATGGTGGCTCCCCAGAAGGAGTGCCAAGTGGGGCGAGATAAACTAGAAGACATATGATGCCCTTAGTACGGCACCCTAATTGGCAGAGACTTTCACGTCCGCAGTGCGGGGTGAGAAGTGCGCATGGCGACCCTTCTGCTGTCCCGCAGGAGGCGGTGATGTCTCCATGCCGAAGTTTCGCTGGAGTTCCATGGGCCCGCTACGACTAGACGCGGAGAAAGAAGTCGCACGGGAGTGATTTGGGGGAGGGGTGAGCGAGCGATTGCGACTCCCGCCATTGCACTGGTTACTCGTGGAAGGTCGCGGCCCCTGTCGCCTGGGCTGCCCAACAGCCAAGAGAAGCGAATTTCGCTCCGCCTGCACGACTTGAAGCTCTCGCTGAGCTGCCTGGAGGGCATTCGCGAGTTTCGCAGCTTCCTGCTTTTGGATTTCGCCAGCTGCTGCAGAGGGATCTGCACTGGAAGGGGAAATTCGGGGACTGTCTGCCGCCCAGCTCGCAAGTGCAGCCTCCATTTCGTCGGCGAGCGAATCCCTTTCCAGCTCAGCCTGCTGCAGTGCGGATTTTGTCCGCCCAAGCTCGTCCTCCCGCACAGCTACTTTGCCGGACAGTTCTGAGTTTTGCGCCTCAGACCGCTGAAGCGCACTCTCCGTCGCCGCAAGCTTGCGCGTGAGCTCCCCCAAAGCCCGCTCCATCTCCAAAATATGATTCCCCACCGCCATGTCCCCTTCGCTTCCGCCACGCCGCGGAGAGCGTTTGTTCGCCTGCGCGCGGAGGGAATCGATCTCCCGCTCCATCGCTGCGCCTGCTGCCTGCATGCCCTCCAGCTGGCGCTCCAAATCCGCCACGTGATCCCACGCGCTGCGAAGCTCCTCCTCCAACAATTTCCGCTCGCCTTCCGACGCTCCCAGAAGCTGGTCCTTGGCGCAAATCTCCGCCTTGAGCGCGTCGATGAGCGACTCGAGCTCCCGCTGCTGCGACGCCTCGAAAACTTCGGTCTCCCTTTGTTGCTCGCGCTGCTCCTGCTGTTCCCGTGGGTCCCGCGAAGTAGAGGAAACGGCACGGGCGGCCATGGAAAACGAATTTGACCGCGCGAAAGAAACTGCTGCGGAGCGGCCGATGCTGGCACTCGCCGAAGCCGCAATACCCGCAGCAGCTCCATTCGCTCCCGCCAGCCGCGCTTCGTCGGCCGGCTCCACTTGGGTGACCCGGTCGCAGAACGAACGGGAGCGTTCGCGAGGCACTGAAGGGTGCGACAACCGGCGGTTACCACTGGGTGTTGCCGCTACCGAGGTTTCGCGCATGGATACGGAGGGGGACGATTCGAGCATGTCTCCTACGCGGCTGGGCCGGCGCGCGTGGTGATGATTCTGCGAGATTGACGCCGAGCGGTGATGTGACTGTAACGCAGGGTTCAACTCGAACGAGCCCGAGTGACTCGAACCAGTACCGTGGCCGGTAGCGCTTGTTGTCTGATCGTTGAAGGTATTTGGGAAAACACCAGCGAAGCTCTTCTGGCGTTGATGATGGCGACTCTGCGTGACAGGGGCTTGCGCGGGTGAGGCGGCGACGGGCGATTCCTGAAAGGAAGGCTGGCGGGCGAACTCTTTACTTTGTGACTTTTGGCGAGTGACCTGCGGCTTGCCACCCTTTGCGCCGCTTGCGCCGGTTGCGTCGCTCGGGCCCTTCCGGTTCCGCCTGGCGGCCTCCGCGGCTCGGAGATACTCCATTTCAACAGGCTCCTCCACGAATTGCTCCATTATCGCGAAAAATTCGTCCATCGGGTCGTCCTGCGACGGCTTTTCGCACGCGGTGCTGCTGTTGCTGTCGATGCTGCTGGTGGGTTCCAGGGACATGGCAATGGCTGCTTGTCGTTCGCACAAGACGCTGGAGGCGCGGAAAATGCTGCTCGCGGAAGGCCTGGCGGCGCGCGGCTTCCGCGCGACAACAGCGTGTTGCGCAGACCTGTTGCTCCGCGAGCCTTGCGCAGCTTCCGCCGCAGGCTTGCTGGGACCTGCGGAGGACTCCCCGGGTGAATGATCCGCGGGTGCCGGCGCGCACGTGACCAAAGATAGGCGGGAGCTACCAACGGGAGGTCTAGTAACGCGCTTGACATTGGCGAGTATGTCGATATCGGGAGCTAGCGCCTTGCCTTTTGCGGCGGCATTTACGGCGGCTGCGGCAGCGAGGGTTTTGGGATTTGATTCGACGTCGCCACCGACAAGAAGACGGACGGCGAGCCGTCTGCCCAGGTTGGGCTTGCCGGCTTCAGTGACACGGGGATCGCAGGTAGCGTTGCCCGAGGAGCTTGGAGGAGGCATGGACGACGTAATTTTGGAGTAAAGCTCGTCCATTTCGAACTTGGCTGCAATAAGGTCCGCTTCCATTGCAATATCAGGAGCGCCAATGGTGCAACTATGTCTGAGCCAATTCTCCTCGACAAAAGAAGAAGCAACGGAGTCTCGCTTCCTTGATCTTTGTCCGTCGTGAGGTTTCCACAGACCGACGTGAAAAGGAGACAGGATGCGTGGATGGAAATGATAGGACCAGTGGTGAAGTGGGCAGTGGGACCGAGGTCAGTGTCAGGGGACAGACAGGATTCAGAGCACATGGGATTTGCACTGGCAGTGGGACTTGTGTATGATCGGTATCCCAAGTGGAACGGAACGGAAAGGAACAATTACGGCAGGCTGATATTTCATTGGGCTGTAAAAACAGTTGAGGGGAGGGGAAGAGGAGAGGCGAGGCGAGTTGAGGCGATGAGTAGCAACTGGGTAAACTCGCGAGCACGCAGACACGCGCAGAGAAAACACGCTGGAAAAGAAGATGCAAGCTGTAAACTAGGCGATTAGATTCCCTACCCGTTATGTTCGTTTGTTTTCGAGCTGGCATTCCATTCCAAGTTCCGATTGTGTTTGTTTGCACGAAACAGTATCTGTGGGCCCAATGTTACCTGTAAATTGGGAATTGGGGAGAAAGGGTAGGGCAGCACCAGTCGTCGTGAGGTGGAAAGAAATGGTGAGCAGAGAGAAGGAATGGGGATGGGTCCCTTTCACCTTGCCACATGCCATGCCATGCCATCCATGGCCAGGTGGACTCGCTGGAGATGGCTAGATCTGCAAGTCACGTTGTTGACCTTTTCTGGCAAAAACCGCGTCATTTCGAAACCAGGACCTTGAAATCAATTTGGTTGGGACCTTGTCTTGCCTGTCAAGCAGGGCCTTGTGGAGATTCTTGTCTTGTCTTGTCTCCTAGAACTGTAACAAAACTACACTTTTCAGGGTCAGAATAAATTATCAGCCTCACTAGCCCGGAGTAAGAACAGAGCAAAAAGCTTCTTGAAAAATTTTCCAGGGCCGCCATTTTCACACCAACTTCTATCTATCAGCAATCCTCCAGAGTACACCTTGTACAAAGGGTTTGAGTATGAGATGTACCATAGAGTTCCTGGTTTTACTGTTTATGACACCGCCTTTCCGAGACGCGGAAGCAATACAGGCAGCATCAGGCAGTGCATCATTTCAAGATTCCCATGCAAGAAAAACAGTAATTGTTGATTTCTTGAGGAGGGGTGGCACTAAGGATGTGTTACGGTTTGCTTCTGATCGCCCCGATCAGAGTCGATCAATCACTTCCAGGAAGCTAGGGCAGCGATTTCGGGCAATCGGGGACAATCACCTGATCGCGATCAGCTGCGGCCCCAAGTCGATCAACCGCCTACAACAGCCGATTCAAACACAACCCCACACAATCACCGACAATCAGTTGATTGTATTGGGTTGGGGTACCTAGCGACGCCATCGAACAGTTACAGAGTTGTGGAGGGCTTCGTGAAGCCCTCGCACAACCAATACCCTGGCAAGAACTTTCTGGACGCCTCTTGATGCGAAATTACAGGGAAACATTGAACTTCGCTAGTTCCAGGCTGAAGTCTTCGCCCTCGCCAAAGTGGGCACGAAGTTGGAAGGAAAGGGTGACACGCATGCCAGGCAAACACCTGGAATACTCGACGAATTTCTTGTCTGATCGGGCGGCGCGAGCACAGTAAGCAGGGGCGCCCCGACCTGATCAGCCCCGACCAGATCATAGCCGATCAGAGGCGAACCATGACACGTCCTAAAATTACAATCTAGCAAATGCCATTCTTTTTCCTTGTTCACGGTGGAAACTGCAAATAGCAACTGCCAAGGACGGTGCTCGGTTTGGCTTCGACGCTTTCGTCCATTTCCAGCACTGGAAGGTCCTTGATGATTGGCGTGATCATGTCATGTCATACTTTCCGTTTGCCGAAGAAATTTGAGTGGTGGTGAGGAGTTTGGGACCCTTCATCTCCAAAAAGCCCATGTTTCCATGAACGTACACGTAGAGCAGATCCAGTTTCATTTTACAGTAGCTGCCCGTATCGGAACCCCACCCTGTCATTCCCTGCCGAACTCGAAACTCAGATAATGGTCCTTCCCGCGCCAAGCTGATCCGTAGGGCAAGCAGCAACCCCAAACCAAACCAACCGTCCCACTCACACCTCCCCCTCTCTCTGCCGTTGATCCGACATATGATTCTGCTGAGCTGGCAACGAGAATTCCCGTGCTTTTAGGGGTGTGACAACTCCAAGGTGTTGTCATATTTAGAATAGCGCATACATGTAAGAACAAGATATAAAATAAAAAAATTCAATTACACCAGAATCAGTAAGAAAGTGTAAGAATACAACCTAACCATTTGCATCCACAGACCAGCTGAAATATTTCATCCACATGATATCAGCCCACAATATCACAAATTTACACCCAGTCACCTCATTACACCTCTTAAATCACCCCCGGATAATCTCTCCACCAAGGGAAGCACATTCACGCCCCATTCATCGGCCCATTTACCAGCAGCCCCTGTTGCAAGTGCACCTGACCTTAGCTTCTGAAGCAGAGTAACGGAGGAGGGAGTGGATGAAGGAGATGTGGGTGACATGGGAGGTGTGGATAAGGCACCCGAGGAGGAAGAGGAAGCCAAGGTGGAGGAATAGGTGGTGGTAGTGGCAGGGGAGTGGGCCTTGAGAGCGGCAGAACCTTCTGGAAAGCCGCAGAAGATGTCAATAAGTTGCGAGGCGAGCTCTGAGGAGTCTGAGAAGAGAAGGCCGTTGGTGCCGTCCTTTACTAGCTCGTGAATGCTGAGGGTGGAGGCGGGAAGGCGGGGAGGGGAGGGGAGGGAGTGGGGGAGAGGGAGGGATGGGAGAGTCTGAGAAGAAGCCGTTGGTGCCGTCGTTAACTAGCTCGTTGATGCTGGTTGGACAGACATAGGGGAAAAGGAGATGGATATGACAAAGAGGATGGGGAAGGCGAGCGCTGAGGAGTCTGAGAAGAGGAGGCCGTTGGTGCCGCCCTTGACTAGCTCGTGGATGCTGATTGGACAGAAAGAAAAAACACCCTGAGGGGGGAAGTATAAGGGAATGGAAAAGGAGGGGGATAGAAAAAGGTGGACAGAGAGTCTGAGAAGAGGAGGCCGTTGGTGCTGCCCTTGACTAGCTCGTGGATGCTACAGGTGGGAAAACAAAACATTAAGGTGGTGGATGGGAGGGGGAGGGGGAGGGGGGGATAAAGGCGATGGATGTTCGTGGATGCTACAGGCAAGCCTTGGATGTTCGTGGATGCTACAGGCAAGCCTTGGATGTTCGTGGATGCTACAGGCAAGCCTTGGATGTTCGTGGATGCTACAGGCAAGCCTTGGATGTTCGTGGATGCTACAGGCAAGCCTTGGATGTTCGTGGATGCTACAGGCAAGCCTTGGATGTTCGTGGATGCTACAGGCAAGCCTTGGATGTTCGTGGATGCTACAGGCAAGCCTTGGATGTTCGTGGATGCTACAGGCAAGCCTTGGATGTTCGTGGATGCTACAGGCAAGCCTTGGATGTTCGTGGATGCTACAGGCAAGCCTTGGATGTTCGTGGATGCTACAGGCAAGCCTTGGATGTTCGTGGATGCTACAGGCAAGCGGAAACTGTGGAGGGGAGGGGAGGAGCGGGAATACGGGATGTTCGGCCCTTGGAATGTTCAACACTTGGAATGTTCAACACTTGGAATGTTCAACACTTGGAATGTTCAACACTTGGAATGTTCAACACTTGGAATGTTCAACACTTGGAATGTTCAACACTTGGAATGTTCAACCCTTGGAATGTTCAACACTTGGAATGTTCAACACTTGGAATGTTCAACACTTGGAATGTTCAACACTTGGAATGTTCAACACTTGGAATGTTCAACACTTGGAATGTTCAACACTTGGAATGTTCAACACTTGGAATGTTCAACACTTGGAATGTTCAACCCTTGGAATGTTCAACCCTTGGAATGTTCAACCCTTGGAATGTTCAACCCTTGGAATGTTCAACCCTTGGAATGTTCAGCCCTTGGAATGTTCAGCCCTTGGAATGTTCAACCCTTGGAATGTTCAGCCCTTGGAATGTTCAGCCCTTGGAATGTTCAGCCCTTGGAATGTTCAGCCCTTGGAATGTTCAGCCCTTGGAATGTTCAGCCCTTGAAATGTTCAACCCTTGGAATGTTCAGCCCTTGGAATGTTCAGCCCTTGAAATGTTCAGCCCTTGGAATGTTCAGCCCTTGAAATGTTCAACCCTTGGAATGTTCAGCCTTTGAAATTTTCAGCCCTTGGAATGTTCAGCCCTTGAAATGTTCAACCCTTGGAATGTTCAGCCCTTGGAATGTTCAGCCCTTGAAATGTTCAGCCCTTGGAATGTTCAGCCCTTGAAATGTTCAACCCTTGGAATGTTCAGCCCTTGGAATGTTCAGCCCTTGAAATGTTCAGCCCTTGGAATGTTCAGCCCTTGAAATGTTCAGCACTTGAAATGTTCAGCCCTTGGAATGTTCAGCCCTTGGAATGTTCAGCCCTTGGAATGTTCAGCCCTTGGAATGTTCAGCCCTTGGAATGTTCAGCCCTTGAAATGTTCAACCCTTGGAATGATCAGCCTTTGAAATTTTCAGCCCTTGGAATGTTCAGCCCTTGAAATGTTCAACCCTTGGAATGTTCAGCCCTTGGAATGTTCAGCCCTTGAAATGTTCAGCCCTTGGAATGTTCAGCCCTTGAAATGTTCAACCCTTGGAATGTTCAGCCCTTGGAATGTTCAGCCCTTGAAATGTTCAGCCCTTGGAATGTTCAACCCTTGGAATGTTCAGCCCTTGGAATGTTCAGCCCTTGAAATGTTCAGCCCTTGGAATGTTCAGCCCTTGAAATGTTCAGCACTTGAAATGTTCAGCCCTTGGAATGTTCAGCCCTTGGAATGTTCAGCCCTTGGAATGTTCAGCCCTTGGAATGTTCAGCCCTTGGAATGTTCAGCCCTTGAAATGTTCAACCCTTGGAATGTTCAGCCCTTGAAATGTTCAGCCCTTGGAATGTTCAGCCCTTGAAATGTTCGTACCAGGAATAGGAGATGGTGCACACGGGAAGGCTGCACCTGAACATATTCACCAATTTCATTTATTTCAGGGCACATCCAGTGCTGAGAGTTGTTGTGAGTTGTCGTGTTTTGAGTCGACTCAAAACACGACTCACTACACACGACCGCACCTGAACATATTCACATCAATTTCGGGCCACATCCAGGGCTGAGAGTTGTTGTGAGTTGTCGTGGGAATTTCACATAGGAAATCGTCACAAGCACTCACCAGGAATAGGAGATGGCGCACACGGGAAGGCCGCAGCCAAACACATCAACCACTTTCAATCAAAGCCTGGGGAGACCAAGCCTTCTAACAGGGCCTTATCAGGAAAGAGTCACCAGAAATGCCTTACCAGGAATAGGAGATGGCGCATAGGAAGGCCGCACCTAAACATGTCCACCACTCTCAAAGGCAGATCCAAGCCTGAGCTAATCCAGGCCCGAGGGGTTGTGTGTTGTAACATTCTTCCGCCCAGCACTCACCAGGAATAGGAGATGGCGCAGACGGGAAGGCCGCACCCAAACATGTCCACCACTTTCATAGGCAGATCCAAGCCTGAGGACGAGGTATGGAGGGACACGCCCAGGTCCGCCGAGCCTAGCAGCCTCGGGTAATCCTCCGGAGCAAGCCATGCGGTTCGGAACGACACGTGGCGCAATCTGAGCCGTCGCATCTTTGCTTCGTAGTGCGATCGGAGGGCTCCTTTGCCTAACAGCGGGAAGAGGGAGGAGAGAGAGAAGGGAGGGAAGAGGGGGAAGAGGGGGAAGAGGGGGAAGAGGGGGAAGAGGGGGAAGAGGCGAAAGAGGGGGAAGAGAGATTGAAGAAAGGTGTGCTTAAGAAGATATTAAAAAAAGTTCCTACCAATGAATTCTCAGCGATAAACGCCAAGTGGGAGATATCTTTCTGAGGTGCCTCAAAAGTCGTCTCATGCTTTCTGCCTCGAAAAGTGCTCACCCGTGACAATAAACGCCAGGGTGGGAGACTTTTGAGTGCTGAAAGTCGCCTCTAAAGGTGCTCACCCATGACAATAAACACCAGGGTGGGAAACTTGGATCCAGATTTCAACCTCCCTCCACTTGCTCCCACTCCTGATCCTGCTGCTATCATCCCCCCCCCTCCCCGCTCACTCACTCCTGCCGCTCCGTTTCTAGAACCCTCCCCTCCCCCTAGACGAGCAAACTCACCCGTGACAATAAACGCCAGGGTGGGAAACTTGGCTCCAGATTTCAACCTCCCTCCACTTGCTCCCACTCCTGCTGCTCCTGTCGTCACCGCCCCTCCCCGCTCGCCCTCTCCTTCCCCTTCTTTTCTTGACCCTGCACTAGACGAATCTCCTCCCACTCCTGCTGCCCCTGCTGCTGCTGCTGCTGTTGCTGCTTCTGCTGCCACTGCCAACGCTGATATCCCATCGGCTTTTTTGGAATCCAGCAGAGGAACGCCAACAGCAGCACCTCGTTCCCCCTCGCCTCCTCCCTCTCCTCCAAACTCCCCCTCGCCTGCCATTGCTGCCACGCGCCTGTCATACATGAGCGCTCCTTCTAGCAACACGTCAAAATCCTCGTCTGCAGTCCTGCAGTGTGTGAGAAGGTGGAGACAGGTTCAAAGGAGTGAAAAGGTTGTGAAGCCAATCCCCCTCGCCTCCTTCCTCTCTTCCAAAAACCCCCTCCCCTGCCATCGCTGCCTGCCATCGCTGCCTGCCACACGCCGGTCCTACATGAGCGCTGCTTCGAGCAACATGTCAAAATCCTCGTCTGCAGTCGTGCAGTGGGTGTATAGTGCGGTGGGAAGGAGTTGGAAGGAGTGGGAGACTTCTTTTCTAGCCATCGCTGCCATGCCACGCGCCTGTCATACATGAGAGCTGCCTCTAGCAGCACATCAACATGAGACAGAAACGGCCACTCACCAGCTAGAGCTGCTGACAACAAGGGCAGGGCGGTCTGGTCTGAGAGTCCACTGCGTGGTTCCTGATGTGGTGAGACGCGGTGCGATGCAATAAGAAATGGTGAGACGCGGTTTAACGCGGTGTGATGCGTGTGCTCTGACATGGTGTGGTGCACAGAGTGATGTGGAGTGAGGTGCAGTGAGGTGTAATGAGGTGCGGCAAGGTGTGGTGATGAGAAAGCAGACCTGAGATGCGGGGGGGCATGCGGAGGGAACTTCCATACCATTCCCCCGCATGCCAATGGTAGCACAGGAGTCACTCCATTCCAATGGTAACATACAGAGGATGGTAATGGGAAAGGCTTTGAAAACACTTCAAAGTGTGACTTTTGAGGCGCCTCAAAAGGGATGGCATGCGGAGGGGACTTCCATGCCATGCCAATGGTAGCATACAGAGGAATCACTTTTGAGAATTTTCAAGAGTGATTTCAGTACTTGCATGCCGTGCCAATGGTAGCATACAGAGGAATCACTATTGAGAATTCTCAAGAGTGATTTCAGTACTTGCATGCCATGCCAATGGTAGCACACAGAGGATGGTAATCGGAAAGGCTTTGAAAACACTCCAAAGTGCAGGGGAAAGTGGAACGCACTCCAAACAAACGGAATTGAGGGGGAGGCAGAAGAGGGTTAGGGGCATGGAGCCTAGTGGAAGGGGGCTGGGGGAATGGGGGCAGGGGAAGTGGAGTGGGGAAGACATGGCACAGACAGTTTGGAGCTACGTGCGTACCGGGTGCGGGTGGGGAGAAACAGCTGTCGAGCAGTGATTGGTCGATGCGCCCCAGAACCTGTTGGGACCAGGGGAGCGGGGGGGAAAGAGCGGGGGGGGGGGGGGGGGGGGGGGGTAAGGGGAGTGGGGGGAGGGGAGTGGGGGGAGGGGAGTGGGGGAAGGGGAGTTGGGGGAGGGGAGTGGGGGAAGGGGAGTTGGGGGAGGGGAGTGGAGGGAGGGGAGCGTGGGGAGGGGGTGTGAAAAGGGGAGTGAGAAGAGGGAAGTGGGGTAAGGGGAAAAGGGAGCAGGGGAAGCAGTGTGGGGCGTGGAGATGGGACAGGGGGAGTGGGCCAAAGAGAGTGTGCAAACGATTGCACTCTGATTCGGTGTGTTTGAAGGCAGAGTGGGAAAAGAGATGACCTTTGAGTCAACTCAAAAGACAGGGGGGAGTGGGGCAAACAGAGCGTGCGAACACTTGTATTCTTATTCGGTGTGTTTGTAGGCAGAGTGTCAAAAGCTTGATTGGCGGAGTGGGAAATGGGGGAATGGCTTGGGAGTGGCATGCTCACCTCTCCCTGCCCACGCCCACCCACGTCCCTCCCAACACATCCTGCACCCCCCCCAACCCATGCACACCTCTCCCAACCTATCCCCGGCCTCTCCCAACCCATGCACACCTCTCTCATCTCCTCTAAGGTGCTGGGTCGGAAGAAGGCAGGCGGGCGGTCGTACAGAACAGTGGCTCTGAAGGCGCATGGGTAGGGAGGCATATGGAGAGAAGAGAAGAAAGGAGAGCAGAAAAGCACCAAGGAGCAGATGAGATCTAAGAAGCATGTAAAGCACGCAAAACAGAGGGGCATGGCAGGCATACATAACAACATCGCAGCAGCAGCACAGGAAACACAGGAAAAACTCACTCTTGGTGTTGTTTCCGCATCTGCACCCCTTTACACAGCTCTGCAACCCCTTACACGTCACCCCTCTTCACCACTCCCCACCTCACCGTATATCCCAGTTGTTCGCCAGCTCCTGCTGCATGGCTCGAGTCACACATATGTGTGCCGCTGCTTGGCGTGCTATGGTGGTCTCGTACCTGGCGGGAAGCAAGCATGGTGGCGAATGCAAAAAAGGACAGATGCACGGGGGCAGAAGGAAAGGGGCAGACGCAAGGAGGCAGACGATGGTATGTGCATGGCTCGAGTCACACATATGTGTGCCGCTGCTTGGCGTGCTATGGTGGTCTCGTACCTGGGGGTTTGAGGGGGGGCGGATGAGAGGCATGGGGAGGAAGACAGAGGGCAGGCGGCACGGGGCAGGGGGTGTGCAGGGTTGTTCACGATGAGGTGTGGAGGGGCGTTGACGAGGGGGTGTGCAGGGTTGTTCACGATGAGGTGTGGAGGGGCGTTGACGAGGGGGTGTGCAGGGTTGTTCACGATGAGGTGTGGAGGGGCGTTGACGAGGGGGTGTGCAGGGTTGTTCACGATGAGTTGTGGAGGGGCGTTGACGAGGGGGTGTGCAGGGTTGTTCACGATGAGGTGTGTGGGGCCAAAGTGGAGGCCAAAGAGTAGAGCCAAGGTTGTGTTTGTGTCTCTTGAGACTCACAGTGAGTTTGTGTCAAGAGTGATAGCACCCATCCACCTCCCCTTCTTACACAAACCACTTTTGAGAATTCTCAAAAGTGATTCCAATAGAGTGATAGCACCCATCCACCTCCCCTTCCCACACAAACCATCCCCCTTTCCCTCCCTTCCTCCCCCCCCCCGACCACAAACAAACGCATACAAGCGCTTTACTTGTGGATCTTCACGAGTGGGTGTGCGGGGCTGAAGAGGAGGCCAAAGGGAGTGCAGCCAGAGGCATGGCATACTGCAGCGCACTCATCAACGCAACAAGACAGGCACGCGCCCCTAGAAAATCCCTTCAGAACGCACCATATGTGGATCGTCACGAGTGGGTGTGCGGGGCCAAAGCGTAGGCCAAAGAGAGGGAAGGCAAAGATGTGCCAGTCAATGACAAACGAGGCTACAGCGTGCGAGGAAGCCAAACCACCGTGCACAGGGAGAGACCTCAACCACACTGCACCCCTATGAAAACCTTCAGCACACACCACTTGTGGATCTTCACGAGGGGGTGTGCGGGGCCGAAACGTAGGCCAAAGAGAGTGAATCCGAAGTTGTGCCAGTCGATGACGAATGAGGCCCGCCGCACTAGCCCAGCGAAGCGCACCACTGTGAAGGTGGGGATGGTGGGTGGGTTCTGAGGGGAGTGGGTTGGGGGGGGGGGGGGGGGGAGGAGGGCGGGGAGGAGGGGGTAAAAAGAGGAGAAGAGTGGGGTTGTCCAAAGAGAGTGAAGGCGAAGCTGTGCCAGTCTAATGCGAAGGAGGCTCGGGAGTGGGAGGGGTGGGCGGCAGGGTGAGGAGGAAGAAAAGAGGAAGTTAAGTCAGTCGATCACGAATGAGGCCCGCCGCACTAGCCCTGCGAAGCGCACCACTGTGAAGGTGGGGATGAAAAGGGAGGGGGCGGGGAGGAGGGGGACAGAGGGCAGAGGAGGGGCTTGGGATGTCCCAAGAAAGTGAAGCCGAAGTTGGTGCCAGTCGATCACGAACAAGGCTGTGAGCAGCGCATGTTTTTTGAGAATTCTCAAAAAAACATGCTCTGAGCGCTAGCCCAGCGATCCGGACCACTGTGAAGGTGCGGATGGTCGGGGGGTTCTGAGGGATGGGGAAGGGGGAGGGGAGAGGCGAGAAGGAGTAGGGAAAAAGGCCAGGGGACGGGGTTTGGGGGGAGGGGGAGAAGGGGAGTGGAGAAGGGTGGAGCAGGGAGGGAGTGGTGGGGATGGTGGGGTGGGGATGGCGGCGGGGGGTTTGTGAAGAGGGATGGGGAAGGAAGGGGCCCAGCCAGGGGAGGGGAGGAGGGGGGAAAGAAGGGTCAGGAGGGGTTTGGAACGTGTGTGAAGCCCAAGTCATGCCAGTCAATGGCGAACGACGCTCGGCGCACTAAGCCAGCGACACGAACCACTGAGAGGGTTGGAATGGTGGGGGGGTTTTGAGGGGAAGATGGGAGGGGAGAGAAGGAGTGGAAGAAAAAGCAAGGGGGACGGGAGTCGGGGGGAGGGGGGAGACGAGACGACTAAACACTCACCTGTAGAAGGTAGATGTCGGGGGGAGGCGTGGCGATGCAGAGCACCCAGAGGAAGCAGAGCACTTGGAGGATGAGCTTGATGGGCAGCGAGAGTGCTAGAAGAAGGCAGAACCGAAGCACAAGGGGTTTAGGGGAAAGAAGGCACGACACGGAGCACTCACTCTGGCCCTCACCTGGAGAAGGTAGAAATCGGGGGGAGGCGTGGCGATGCAGAGCACCCAGAGGAAGCAGAGCACTTGGGCGATGAGCTTTATGGGCAGCAGCAGCAGGTAGAGCGGGCGCGAGAGGCCGCTGGGGAAGGGCATGCCCTGGGGAGACGGGGAGAGAAGGGGGGAAGAAGAAGGGGGAGTGGAGGGGCGGGAGGGAGGAAGCAGAGGACTTGAGCGATGAGCTTGATGGGTAGCAGCAGCAGGTAGAGCGGGCGGGAGAGGCCGCTGGGGAAGGGCATGCCCTGAGACATTGAGAGAATATGGGGGGGAAATGGGGGGAGAGAAGGGGCGAGAGGTGGGGAGAAACGGGGGGGGAGGGGAGGGGGGAGAGGGAGGAAGCAGAGCACTTGGGCAATGCGAGAGGCCACTGGGGAAGGGCACCCTGGGGACATGGGGAGAGGAGGAGGCGGGAAGATGGGAAGCAAGGAATGAAAGTGGACAGCAGCAGCAGCAGCAGCAGGCGCAGGTGAATGCGTGGATGCTTTGCCATCAGAAGCCCTACCTTTCGTTTCCCCTGTAATCCCCCCCACTTCCTCACCAGCAGGCGCAGGTGAATGCGCGGATGCTCCGCCACCGAGGGGTGCACCTGCGACCCTGCGGAGCAGGGTTTAGGGTTTTGACAATGAAAGGGCGGGGGGTAACGGAGGGGAGGGAGGGGGAGAGGGGGGGACGGGGGAGGGAGGGGGGATGGAAAAGGGAAACGGGGGGGAAAAAGAGGGGGGAGCGGGGGAGGTTGGGAGTGTGGGGAGCACAAGGGGATGGAATCTTGAGCAAACGCAGAGGAAACTTCTGAGAATTCTCAGAAGTCAACTCCACAAAGGGAATGGAATCTTGAGCAAACGCAGAGGAAACGGAAAAGCGGATAAGGCAGCGGGGAGGAGGGACGGGAAGGTGGGGGAGAGGGGGAGAAGGGAAAGAAGGGGGAGGGGGGGGAGGGGGAGGAGTAGGGGGAAACAGGAAGGGAGACAGGAGAGAGCATGGGATGGGACGAAAAGCAAACAGCAACACGCGGAATAGAGGGGTGGAGCAGAGGGAAGGGAAGAACGGAGCAGTAAGCAGGAAAATGGTGAGGATATTATTATGAGCGGAGAACGAAACTTTCTTTTCTCGAATTGCACATGGATACAGCAATGTCAGGTTTTGTCGAATGATGTGCAGGCTTCATTCGATCCAATAACACTTTCGATTCTGATAAAAAACCTAGTACTTCCATTCCGTACTCTCGATATAGACTAACCTGCGTAGCCGATAAGGTCGACTTCTAGTCCCGCCTGCACGTTCCGAAGCAACAATCACAATACCATAAGTAACGCGAATCGATAATACTCACTATAAGATACTCCGTGACATGTTAAGTAACGCAATTCGTAAACTTGGTGACAATGGCGCCGCGATAGGAGTCCATTGAAAGGATCTATTGGCTGCAGCACGGTAGCGCAGGATAAGGCATATTCAACTCACTGTTCTTAACTTTCCAGCACACTTATCGGCCTTGAAAGTAAATCACTATTCACATTAAGGTTACTGTCACCTCATACAACATTCGGCAAATGAATCCCGCGCGGGTTGTTCGCCATGTAACAAGTGAATGCGTTGACGAAACGAGTATTGGCTAGCAGTATGTATAGATCACGGCTGGCGAAAACTGTCGCGAGAAGTTGGATTCACCTGATTGGCTAGCGACAGCGCGTGGTACTGCATGCGAGGGCTGCGACCCACATCGCCGACCACCACCACCGCCGCGCGACCGCGCCGTCGCCTCGTCATTCGGCAATGCCTAGGCTTCGGCAATCCCTAAGCTTCAAGAACCTTGTAAGATCGGATCTGGGCGGGTTACCTTGAAATGGAAACCATTAGCAGAATGATCCAGCCGAATCGCTAAGATGCAACAATTCATTACTATTTCAACCAAAGATGCACGCGTGATTTGAAGTTGCAGGAGACTAGTGGGCTAAGGGCGTGCCCGCCCTAACTTCGAATTTGCCGGTAGGGCTCATGTAAGCCCACTGCATAGATCTGTTTCTTTATTACGTTCTGACTCCCAACCATGGTACATATTCACTCCTCCAAATTCCATTCTATCAACTAATTCTGATCTAGAACTGCTACAACCTGGATTGGAATGGTGGCCTTTCACATGAAAAAAAAAAAAAAAAAAAAAAAAAAAAAAAAAAAAAAAAAAACACACACACACACACAGACACACACACACACACACACACACACACACACACATTTCAGTCTAACAATAGCATTTCGTGATGATGCAACAAAGTTACCGTATTCTCCCGGATAAAACACCCTAGGGTATTATGAAAACCACTGGGAAAAAATGGGGGGGGTCTCCTCAAAGGAAAATCCTACATAATACCTGGATCTTATTATATGGTATATTTTTTATCAAGTAGAAAAGATGTGAAACAAAATCAGGGGCCTGACTCCACTTCAAGATTGTTGACCAGTGCCGCAAAACCGAGTATACGAGGATAACGTGACCGCCCACTGGAATCTGTCACGTGGCAAATTCGTAGTGGGCAATTCTGGCACTTGATAGGGTGAAAACAAATCCAATTGCGTGGCGAGGGTTCATGCAACCGCCGAGGCCAGAATCGCGCACGGTGGTGCATTCTTACTGTACCAGTCACTTCTTGACTGGTTTGGTCACGTATCTGTGCCTCATGTGAGAAGGTGATTTTCACCTATTAGGCCACTTGCAGTGGAAGATTCGCCAGCGTGGCGACAGCGAGATTGTGGGAGGGGGGAAATCTTGGCAGATTCTAAGTGAAAGTACACGCGAAATTTCACCTAGGGAGCAATTCTCGCGATATCGTCCCGTAAGGAATCGGACTCGATAACAGCTATAATATGAATCTATAAGAAAAGGGGGGTGTTATAGAAAATCACCCCAAAAGGGGGGGTATAGTACAAACGGGGTCGGATATAACACCCACCCCGTATTAGCTACCCGGGGGTGTACAATTACGGGGGGGTGTTTTATCCGGGAGAATACGGTAGTGTGTGATTTTTGGAAAACTGTCAAAGTTCGAACTCAAACTGCTTTGCACCGTGGCCACACATCTCGCAAATTTATCCTACAATGTAGAACCGTTATAAAAGTTCTAACTTTGGGAAGTTTGAAAAAATCGCACATGCCCTTACAAGGATGTCAACGAAGTTGCTGCTCACATTTTTTACTGGATTGGATCCAAATCCCTCTCGGACGAGTTTGTAGAGGTGAGTGGTCCGTATCCAAAACTAGTGGGCAGGGCCTCAGATTCCAGGAATTTTACCCTGATTTCCTGATGTTTGACCCCGGTTTTTTATTGTAACCCTGATGAATCAGCCTTTTTGTTTTTACAACCCTGATGAATCAGTGTTTTTCTTTTCCTAATCCTGATTTTCCAGTGTTTCTAGTTTGTCGACACTGACGAGTCAGTGTTGTCTCGGAGACGACCCTGAAACCGAAAACTCCGTGATTCTCGCAGTTTTGCGCGCCGTCATCATGCATGAACCCACCCTGCACGGACGCCACCCTGCGGCGCGCCCAGATACAGTTGAACGGGTTAATTTCGGGCTGTGTTGGCAAAACGCGTAAAGAGATTGGCTGTCCCAGCTGAAGCAATGTACCGTTGTCACGTTGGATAACCTACACTTGTCATTACTTTCCATTGATGTGCACAAACAACCAAGCCTAGTGGCCCAGTGGGCCAGTGGTCTGCCTTGTTCTTTCCACCAAGGCAGGGCGTGCTGGGGCGGCCCGCTCAGGCACCCCACGCAGGGGGTCTCGTGATTCTGCCATTCCAGCTCTCCAGACTCCATCCCTTTCCGAAACATCAATCTCTGCAGTCTCCCTGAAGCCTGCTCGGCAGGCTCTCTCTCTCCCAGGGTTTCTCATTACTACTCACCGATTCAGGAAGGTGACGTGAACGCGCCATGGCGATCACCGGTGAGAACAGCTGCGGTGATGATGACGACGATGCACTTTACGCCGCCACCGAGATGCTGGAGGCCAGAACGGGACTAGATTTTCTAGTTTCCGCGCTCTCCCATGAAAAAGAGAAGCCAGGTCCCGTCGCCTCAGTAGCAAACACTGGTGAAGCGTCTGGCCTCTGCCGCGGAGACGATCGTCCCCAGCCCGCGCATACTGCTAAGCCGGCCGTGCCGTCAGCAGCCGGACCGAGCGTCCGCTTGCCATCTCGTGCGTCGTCGTCGAAGCCTCCGCCTCGTTACAAGCAGGCCGTGCTCCGTTGGGCCGATCCTACAGATCCTGGACGTCCTCTCGCTGATGCCGGCGAGTCGGTAAACCACGTTACACCCACGCCATCTAACTCTAAAAAACCGTCACTAACCACTCTGATTTACGAAGAGGCCCTTGAAACGTTCAAGTCGACGTGGTCGACCGACTACCCATGGCTCATCCTCATAAAAAACACTGCTGGCATGCCTGCGTTCAAGTGCAGATTGTGCATCGACTTTGCAGGTGACGGTGGCAAGTGTGGCAAGAGTGGGCACGGTGCAACCGATCTTCAGACCCAAGCCTTCAAGCGGCATGCCGCGACGAACAAGCACCAGTTGGCCATCAATCACCAGAAGCAGATGCTAGCTCAGGGTGGGAAGCAGCCGCGAATTGACGAGCATACGCTCGCCAAAGATGACGAGACGACCCGCGTCATCAGCCTTCTGAACTCCCTTCACTTCACCACCCAGAACCATCTGCCGATGGAGACGTGGGTGCGCCTCGTTCGCTACATGGCTCAGAACGAGGTCCGCGGCTTTCCCAAAAAGGGATACGGCACTTACTACACCACGTAAGTGCTTACGAGCGCATGCATTAAAAGCCTCTCCTGTTCACAACCACGTAAGCCTAACAAATATGTTCGGTGTCTATGCAGGTACGGCTTTGGGGAACTAACACAGGCAACGGCCGTGTGGCTGCAGACAACACAACTCGAACACGTCCTACAAAGCCACTACATCGGCCTCAGCTGTGACGAGTCTACGGACAGATGCCGTGGGAAGCATCTCATCATCTATGCCACATTCATCCGCGACGGGGCAGTAGTCACCGAGTTCTTTGCCCTCCTAACCGTGGACAGGGCAGACGCCGCATCGCTGGTGGCGTTGCTCTTATCCCATGTCAATGCCGTCGGCATTGACCTGCGCCGAATCACGGGCATCAGCACCGACGGGGCGAGCGTCATGGTCGGATCCAAAAACGGGCTGGTGGCGAGGCTGAGGACGCGCGTTCCGCATCTGGTGTCCTGCCACTGCATCGCTTACAGGTACGGTGGTTGATGCAGTGTCCGATGCGACTGGTATTTGTTATTTGAACATGGTGTCCTTCCTTCTACTTAACCAAATGCGACTGTTTTTTGTTTTAATCGCAGGGAAGCACTCGCGGCCAAGGACGCGGCAGAGTCCCTACCGGAGTTTGGCATGGTCGACAGCTTCATCCGCTGGCTCTCCACCTACCTCGGCTCATCAGGACCCTGGCACCAGCGCTTCCTGGACCTTCAGGAAGTCTTCACTCAGACTAACCTGGAGCTCCAAGGAATCAATGATGTGCGTTGGCTCTCACGCGGCGATGCAGTCTGCCGACTTCTTGCAGTCCTTCCGGGGGTCGTCGTGATGGTGCACGAGCTGGGAAACAAGCCCATGTACCAGATGGTGACCAGCTACAGATTCCAGTTCATGCTGCGCTTCCTCGCTGACGTGCTGGAACAGCTGAACATGCTCAGCAAGACGTTCCAGCATCGACAGGTGAGATCCTGCTTTTGCCTGTGCATCCCTGTGTGCCGTGAGGACTGTGGGTTTAGGGCCGCTAGCTACGGCTAGTTCTGCTTCATGATTGAAACCTGGCTGTGCTTTCCCTACTGTTTTTGTGTGGCAGATTGACCTGCTGGCGATTCAAGGCCAGATCCGTCGCACGACAACCCACATCAACAGCCGTTATGTGGATTGTGGCGACGACTTCGGCGGCGGCCTGAGCGAGAAGCTGTCGCCCTTCATTGCACGACATGGACCGAATGGGGTGCGGAGAGTGGAGGTCGAGTGGGTTGACTCCGACGGCCGGCCCACTTCTCACTGCTACGTGCTGCATGATTCCCCCCTTGAAGGCTACCCCATTGCAGGGACCCATGAGCGATGCGTGGAGCAGTGCACGGCGATGGCGGAGGCGCTCGTGCATAACCTGGATGAGCGATTGGGTTCACTCGACAAGCTGAGCGGTGTGAAGCTGTTCATGCCTGACGAGTGGCCCCATGGACGGCAG